ATATATATATATATATATATATATATATATATATATATATATACAGTATATGTATATATGTATGTATGCAAATGTTATATATATATATAATTTTTATTTCACATTTAATATCCAATTTTATGGAAAATAAGAAATGTTCCTAATGTTTGCCACATAAGAAAAAAAAGTCACGCTTTGGTAAATCATAATAAAATCAGAATTATGAGATAAAAAGTTAAAATTATGACATACTAAGTGAAAATGATGACATAAGTTGCCATTATTCATATGCATGTCACAATTCCCTTTATGTATATCGTAATTACGACTTAATTTAATCATTAATAATAATTTAATAATTAAGCAATCTCAATTTTTCGTCAATTTCGTCTTTATCTGATAATTACAACTTAGAAGTCATAATTTAGATTTTTTTTTTTTTTACCTTTTGTCATAATTTCCACTTTTATTTAATAATTATGACTTATCTCATAATTTTAGCTTTTTGTGTAATAATTCTACTTCTTAATTCATAATTCTGATTTACCAAAGAATTATATATTTTTTTTTCTTATTTGGCTGAAATGCACTTCCAAACATTTCATTTAAAAAACTGTCAGATTATGGGAGGGGGGAGTGTTTTTACAAACTGTATTTCATATTGACTATTTTAGGAAGTAATTTGAAAGGAGATCAAAGACCAGCATCAAAGATGTCATCGCTGTAACAGCTTTTGTGTCGGAAAAGATCTGTGGATTGAATCACCACGTAAATAAGCAAATCCATCGTCATCAAGTCATCAAATCTGCCGAGAAATCCCCAACGCCATTATCTTAGAGGATATGTGGTGCTCAATCAAAATTACAAAAGCGGCGACTCACATTCATTAAGACGGAATGGTGATGAGAGGTCATTGAAAGTTGAGCCTTCATCACCATGGTAACGGTTATTACTCACTGCCTCTCAAGGTTGCACCGGTGATATGCTAATTGTGATTTCTAAAGCTAATTTGGGTGAGACTTAACACAAGTCAGGGCTGTTAAACTTCACTCCTGTACTGTAATGGGAATTGTCCACCCTGTGTTAGAAGCTCCATTTTTATTAATATTGTATTTACTGTCTGTGTCTTTTAGACAGTTTTACATTCTGTTCCATTGACCCAGATGGATTCAGATAAATCACAGAATCACATGATAAACTAGGCCATCTCTGCTATTTTTGACTTTCTGAGTTTCAAGGTTTTAATTAAGAATTCATATATACAGTATATATATTACATTTGCAACATAATATCTCACAACTGTGACTGCATATTTCATATTTTAAACTTCTCAGGCGTCCCGGTAGAATAGTTTATTTTAATATGTAGTTTTGCATGTTCCTAAAGTTAGTCAAAACTTTTTTGCCCACTTTGACCATTTGTAGTTGCTAACTATATGAGCACAAAAGTATTTAACAAGCCATTTTGCTGTCCTACAGCTTATAAACGCTCATCTCACCAGTGTGCCATGTGCAATATCCATACTAGCATTATACAGTGTCTTGTAAAACATGCTTGATAGCTTTTATATCTCTCAGAACCAGTGATTATGAGGTGCGGAGAACACCTGTTCAACACCATCACAAGCTAGTCTTGCATAAATCGCAGCTTCTTGTTATTCTTTTTTTTCTCTCTCTCTCTCCCCTCTCCTGTGTTTTTTAGGGCCGTTAATTTCACACCAGGTGGAATTCCAGATGTTCTGGAGCCTCAGAATCATATTGTACTAAATATGAAAGTGCTGAAGGAAGCATGAGTCAGCACACAATCTCCAAACTCGCCACGCTTGTTGCACATCATGAAAACTTCTGCCTTTAGTTTCCATAAGGACAGCAAACATATGGATACACTTGATTTGCATAATCCCTTCTGTGACGCTCATTACAATAGAGTCAGCTAAGGAAAGCCTATTTTACAATACAGTTAGAACCAATATGTTTTACAAAATGTGTTAAGCAGACATAATTATTTGCTCTGTTTACACCTTGCACAGTACCAATAAACAGGGCCACAATCAAAACTGGAATGAAGCACAATTGTTTTGATCTAAATAAGACGCACCTTTTATATGTGTGATTAGAGCACTTTCATTCATTTGAAGCCAGGCCAACAATAACCATTAAAAGCACAAACAAAAACATCACAAAGAAAAATTTAATTTTTCTGTCATAAGATCTAGCGTTACTAAAGCTAAATGGACGATTTTTCCCTTATACAACAGCGCCATTTAGTGGCAAAATCAGTCATTAAAGTCGTTAAGTTGAAGCCATAGTTGGTTAAACTTATAAACTGTAGTTGTTGTTGTTTTAATAAAAAAGCTCACTAGATTTGTGTAGCATTCTGCAACAGTTTATAATTTTCATATTAAACTTGATGCATTAATTATTCAATCTTAAAATATAAATATAATAATTCCTAGTCTTTTAACATGTCACATCACTTAAAGTGTATTTCGAATGTGTTTGTCTACTACATTTGTCCACTTCAATAGAATATATTTGTAAGAAGAACTTCGTCACTTTCATGAGAATGCTGAGCTTTTTAATTTAAAATGTATTTTAATTAAACTTAAAGATTAATGTTAAAATAAAAAAATATGAATATAGTTTAAATATAGTTTTATATATAGTTTAAATGGCATTTAAAAGATGCCAATCATATTAAATTGTGGTTGTGGGTCAAAGGTAGTTTGGGTCACACCCTGAGTTGTTAACAAAAAATATTATTATTAAAATTATTGTCATGACATATTGAAATATGTTAAATGTATACATTCAGAAAATTATAAATGTCGACATATATTCAGCATTTTGGTTATCTGAATATATCAAATATGTTTTTGGACTTGGTTTGAAAATAGAAATGAATTGCATTTAACTTTTAGTTAGCCGGAACTAAAAAAAAAAAATAAAAAAAAACTCCAACAGTGGCTATTCAAAAAGTAATTTGCTGCAGGACATTTGGGGCAGAAGCACAGGACCTGGAGAATGATGATGTGTCAGATCGCAGATAAATTGTAGCAACAGTATTTTTTTTTTACTGGACATCAGAAACCCTGGAGCTCCTGAAGCTAAAGTAACAAACAGTTGCACACACACACACACACACACACACACACGCCTTCTCTCCAGAAAGATTGCTCATCTTCATCAAGGTCGCTCACGGCTCTTGGCTCTACACGGGACCCCTGGGAGGGATGAGTTCAGATCCCTCGTTCTAAGCCTTCTCACCTTCTCCTCAGACATGCTGAGCCCATCTCACGGGTCTGATCTATAAAAGTTTATTCCACACTGATGTTCACCTCCATACTGCACGCTCAAGCAGAATTCAAACAATATCAGGAAGACGTGTTCGAAAATCAACAGCTGTGTCAGAGAGGACACAGCTGACCTTGTGTGTCTGCTAGAAGCATCTTATTGTTAGACAGATTTTTAGCTTATTTTCTTACCCATTTAAAAGCCTTTTAAGAATAGAATAGAATAGAACATAACTATTTATTTGCAGACTGTGAGTCATATTTAAAGCCCCTTTAGGTTTTCAGTGTAAAACCACATGATGGCAGTATAGTATGTTAGTGGTTTAGAACACAACGTTCAAATCAGTACTACTCTCAATCTGTGTTCCCGGTCCTGTTTCTTGGTTCCTCAACAGAAAGCTAATGTGATAAGCCAGCTATGTAATGATTTTAGTAAATAATTGTGGAGTTGTTAATGTGACAAGGTCAATTAAATCCCAATTTAGCAGTTCTTAAATCATACCAAACGGAACCATTTAAAAATGTAAGTTGGTGATTCTTTTCTAGTCATTTGATTTGGAAATTTGGAACTTCTTCGAACTGCACTAAGCATTCAAAAGTTTGGGGTCAATAAAATGTTTTAATGTTTTTGAAAGAAGTTTCTCAGTAAGGCTGTATTTATTTGATTAACGGTCCATTAAAAACAGTAGTATTCTAAAATGTTATTGCAATTTAAAATAACTGTTTTCTATATGAATATATTTTAAAACTGTAATTTATTCCTGTGATCAAAGCTGAATTTCCGGCATCATTACTCCAGTCTTCAGTGTCACATGATCCTTCAGAAATCATTCTAAAATGCTGATTTGCTGCTAAAGAAACATTTTTTATTATCACTTTTATTTCAAGATTCTGTGGAATAGAAAGTTTAAAAAGCACATCATTTATTTGGAACAGAAACACTATAAATGTCTTCACTGTCTCCTTTTTAATGCATCCTTGCTGAATAAAAAAAATTAACTTAATTAATTGATGGATTAATTAATTAAAAAAATAATTGAAAACATATTATTTAGAGCATATTATTTGATAAGTTATTATTTTATAAGTCTATCATTTTGGTTTAATGCATGATGCTTATTGTGAGTATTGTGTGTGATGATAATGATATGTTCTGGAAATGAAAAACGTCTGACTTTATTGTTAACAGACATGCCAGATTAATTCGTTTTTAGAAAAAGAATAAACGGTTTAAAATACTTTAAAATCATCCTAAGGGACAGAAAAGTTTCCATAACTGAAGAACAAGAGTAAACTTGTGCATTGTAACGTGTACTTTGCATTGCTCATGACATACAGTGTGCTGTTGGTCATAATATGTGGTGTTTGTGTGGTTTGTGTAGATAACCCAGTGCTGACCAGTAGAGTGGCCGTCACAGTTCATGTGCTGGACATTAATGAGTTTCCACCAGAGCTGGCCATGCCTTACGAGACCTTCGTGTGTGAGAGCGCCAAAGTCGGGCAGGTGAGCGAATATAAATGGTTATGTGCGCATGTGTGTATGTTTGCATGTCCAAAACCAATTCTGGTCTAATGAGCCATTTAAGATGATGTATGACAGACTCCAGAGTCTGACACTCTCATTAAATCCTGAAAGTGCAGTATATTCCTGCTTTAGCCAGGTACAGTGTGCGTATGCGTGCCAGAGCATTTCCTAATCTACTGTATCTTGCCCACTTACACTGAACCACTGAACCTTAGAATAAACAGGAAAACCTTTCTGAAAAAAACATGCTATGAGTTATTTTACACAATATTTATTTGTATGTTAACTGAAAACAAAAGTGAGTAGTTTTTGCCCACTCAAAGCTTACCACCACAATGCTAGTATGAAGTTAGTGGTTGCCAGGATGTTGTTATGCAGTTAATAATGTGTTTGAAGTGGTATTTAGGGCATTTCTAGGTGGTTTGTTTATTGTTTTATTTTTTTCACAGTCCTGCTTCACTAGGTGCCAATGAAGGGGGAAATAACTCTTATGCAGTTGCTAATTCAATTCAATTCAAGTTTATTTGTATAGCGCTCTTCACGATACAAATCGTTGCAAAGCAACTTTACAGAAAATTAAGTTTCTACAATATTTAGTAGTAGCTAATAAGTGGTGACTGTCAGTTAATGTACATATGGCAGAAATGTACGGAAAAATCTATTAAAGACGTAATCAAACAGACGATGAACACTATTAACAGCAATTATTATATGATGCAATCAAACTTATAGCAAAATGTGGCAGTCCTGTATGTTGTTTCAGGGTTGGCATCATCTGAGGTCCTCTGAGGGGTTGCATCATCTCTTCTCAGGTGTTCTGGATCCAGACTGAAGCTTGTGTAAATCCTAGTTACATCCCGTGGCAAAACCAAAGAAACAAATAGAGACATAATGAGCGTAGCTGCTGTTCCAACCAATCAAAATTGATTTGTTTAACCCAAACTTAAGAATAATAATGTGCATTTGATTAGATATAACTGCAGTACAAGATATGAGATGCATTATTTGAATGCTTGGCCAAAGAGATGTGTCTTTAATCTAGATTTAAATAGAGAGAGTGTGTCTGAACCTCAAAAGTTATCAGGATGGCTATTCCAGAGTTTGGGAGCCAAATGCGAAAAAGCTCTACCTCCTCTAGTGGACTTTGCTATCCTAGGTACTACCAAAAGTCCAGAGTTTTGCGACCTTAGGGAGCGTGATGGATTGTAGCGTGGTAGAAGACTAGTTAGGTATGCAGGAGCTAAGCCATTAAGGGCCTTATAGGTAAGTAATAATATTTTGTAACTGATACGGAAATGAATAGGTAGCCAGTGCAGAGACTGTAAAATTGGGGTAATATAAGCATATTTTCTTGACCTGGTAAGGACTGCATTTTGGATCACCTGTAGCTTGTTTATTGAAGATGCAGGACAACCACCAAGCAGTGCATTACAATAGTCCAGTCTAGAGATCATGAATGCATGAACTAGCTTTTCTGCATCAGAAACAGGTAACATGTTTCGTAACTTGGCAATGTTTCTAAGATGGAAGAATGCCGTTTTGGAACATGGGAAATATGAAAAGAGATGACTCCCCATTTAAATAAACAAAGTGGTAGCGATCGGACAGGTATGATCTAAACCATCTCAAAGCCTGCCCTTGGATACCTGTATAGTTTTGTAATCGATCTATGAGTATGTCATGATCTATAGTGTCGAACGCAGCACTAAGATCAAGTAAAACTAGTAATGAGATAAAACTAGCAATGCTAATGTTTGTAGTGAATTTCTAGAGTATTGCTAGATGTTTGTTTTATTGTATTGTATTTTGTTTTATTTTATTTTCACAGTCCTGCTTCACTAGGTGCCAGGAATGAGAAAAAAAAAACGTATGCAGTTGCTAAGATGTTTGGAGTGGTATCTAGGGTGTTGCTAGGGCGTTTTTATTATTTTATTTTACATTTTATTTTTTTTTGTTTTAGTATTTTTACACTTCACTAGTTGCCAAGAAGGGGAAGGGAAAAAGGGTGTTCAGAGTGGTATCTAGGGTGTTGCTAGGGTGTTTTTATTATTTTTATTTTATTTTTGTATATATTATTTTCACTGTCCTATTTCACTAGGTACCTGGTACTTATATATGCAATGTGTTATCATTTATGCCTTTTTGTTGTTGTTGTTTGAATGGATATGACACTTCTGGCCAGAACTGTGTGGTTTGATTGAAACATTGGACAGGAAGAGCCTGGTGGGTAAGTGATGCATTAGTGCTGCGCTAATGGTCCTACCCAGCATGCACCTGTGGCGCTGGTGACAGCCCTACAACAGGTGACGCTAGCGGGAGGGTGGGCAGTGTGAACGTCTGTTAGCCACGGAAGATCGATCTGCTTGTAATGGTAGTGTACAGTGTATCATGATCGCTGGATGTGAAAGCAGACTAATTGGTTTTAGATGCAGAATCGAGAAGAAAAAGCACAGGATCACTTGAATAAACATTACTGAGCACATATTGCCGGCTGCCACTTATCTTCATGCACTTGTGACTAGTTTCTAACTCATGTTTCATTTAATGTTGTGAGTGTAATTGTTTCATATACATAAAGCACTGTAAAGTGGATTGTTTTTCTTCTAAGAAATATACTGTATTATATGGCTGTATATCTCCATTAATTAAGAGCAAACGCTGACTCTGACTAATGAGTTTTCTATACTAATGTTAATTTTATTAAATGATTAAGATATGAATAATTTCAATTAATAATGTATACTTTTTAAATATAATTGATTTTATTCCTGTGTGCACTAATAACCTTCATAAATCATTTAGACATTTCATAAACATGAATGTTCACCATACAATATTGAAACAAGCGATTAACCATTAAAAGATTAGTTATTTAGTGAGTACTTTAGGTTTTACATTTTTAGCCACATTCTGGGTGTCCAGCAGTGATCAAATATACCACCAGAGACTGTTTTGTTCAATTTAAACCCTGATCAATAATCTTTTGAATAACTTTGTGTTGTCTAGGTGATTCAGGTCATCAGTGCAAGAGACCAGGATCTCCCTCAAGCCGGACAAAGATTTTTCTTCAAATCCCCTCAAGAGGGAGTGAAGACCAAAAACTTCACCATCAGAGACTTTGGAAGTGAGTCTGTCTGTTATTTCTTAGCCAAGTGATTTATTTGGAGAGCGAAAGAGAGAAAATATATATAGAGAGAGCTTATACTACTACTACTACTACTAATAATAATAATAATAATTGTTTATGTTGTTTTTTTATTCTTTGATGAATAAAAAAATTAATAGAACAACATTTATTCAAAACAGAAATACTTTTTTTTTTTTTACAATGTAAGTCTTTACTATCATTTTTTAAATCAATTTAACATACCCTTGCTGAATAATTATTTTATTAATTATTATATTACTTTATTTAAAAATAAGGTAGCTACTTACCCCGAACTTTTGAACGGTAGTGTATATAGACTGCATATATATTGCTCTTTGTGCATGCAATGGTTTAATTAACGGAAAAGCCATGGAACTGTGTTTTACATATATTTTTTTATTTTCCATCACAGCTATTCTGCCACTACATTGAACAGCTTTCACAGCACATTCTGTATACATCCACTGTTTTGGCCTTATGGAACGCCTGTCCTCACTTCAGGCATGAATGCTCGCTTAAGATGTGATTTACTGGGCGTTTAATTAACGGAAAAGCCATGGAACTGTGTTTTACATATAGTTTTTTATTTTCCATCACAGCTATTCTGCCACTACATTGAACAGCTTTCACAGCACATTCTGTATACATCCACTGTTTTGGCCTCACTTCAGGCATGAATGCTCGCTTAAGATGTGATTTACTGGGACAAGGTGACAGTTTCCGCTGAGGGAAGTTCAGGAAAAAGAGAAGAAACAGGCTACCTGTAACATGCAAGATTTTCTTGAAAATGCTCACCCATCACGAAAATGCAGCCAGCATAAAGTCACAGCGACAGGGTCAGATGGGCTAATCAGAGTTCATAACCAGCAACTTGCAGCAGCCATGATGCCAACAAAGTCTTTTGACAACATGCCATTTCTCTGAACGCTAATACACCAGCTACATCACACTGATTTTATAAAACATGAACAGCTACATTGTTTATTGCCATTTAACCTTTTATGGCTGGAGGACAAGACAAGCTATGGTGAAAACCAAAAACTGTTTACTTATTCGTTTTAGGACATAAAGTCAAATTTTTAGACATAGTAGCTGTACTTATCACAAGATGACTGCACAATGATGCTGTTATAGGATATACAGTACCTTATTTTCATAAGGTGTTGCTGCAGTAATCATTACTCTCTCTGTCCTCTGAATCTGTTGTAATATGAATCAGTTTGTTCCGTTCGTTCAAACTCTTGTCATAAGCCCTTTACGCCACTTATAGCTTTCTTGTAGTAACATATTTAGTTACATTCTGATAGATTTTGTTGTCTCTAGTTTCGTTATATTTAGATTAGAAGCATCATAATGTCAGATTTGGTTGTAATAGTGTTTGGAACTGAGTCAGAGAGATGAAGTAGCCTTCAGAAAGTTTCAAAATCTCAGTTGACCAGACGAGGAAAGTAATGTTACTGTAGGTCAGAAGGTATGATGTGAAAGTGCTTTTCTACCTCCTGAAATCATTTCAGATGAATGTTCAGACTCAAACACTCTCCGCACAGAGAAAAAGCATATTATTTAGAGCCCTGAGGGGGATTCGGCACTCAGCTGTAGTGTGATGTTCCTGTTGAACTAGACTCAGAGCACACTAAACACTGGATAGTTTGTTCACTATGACAAATCATGTAAGATCTTCTTGTGATGCACAATATCATTTGCGAGGTATGCAGCGGTTACACTAAATCAATAACGCTACCTTATAATGACACAAGCACCCTTCCTGTGGAGCTCTAGGGCTGTTAACAAAGTCATCAAACAATCAATAGCTCTCTGCTAGTTTGTAAGCAAATTCAAATTGTGATTTTGTCTTTGGGGGTATGATATAGACATAAAGTTTAATAAAAAGGAAAATGTGTAGTTAAAGTAATCTCTTAAAAAAAAGTGCTTCTGTTTGTTGCTTCCCATGCCTAATCAAACTTTCTAATAAATACAATATTTTATAAATATTTAAAAAAGTAAAATGCATATAATTTTCTATTATATACTTATAGAGATGTGTAGATAAATTTATTTTATACATAATTTGATATTATATTAAATTATATTATACATTTAAAGTTATGTTAAACTATAGCTAATTATATTTCAAATATTGTTATTGTTATGTTATTATTTGTGTGTGTGTGTGTGTGTGTGTGTGTGTGTGTGTTGGGGTATTATTTAGACATGAAGCGTAATAAAAAGGAAATATGTGTAAAGTAATACTGAATGTGTAAAGTCATATTTTAAAAGGAAAATGCTTTCCATGTTGCTGTCTAATAAATTCCAACTGTCTAATAAATATAACATTTTAGAAGCATTTTTAAAAATAGAAAATATATTAACAATATTTACAATAATGTTAGATATAATTTGATCTCTTGTTATACAATTTTAAATAACGTAACATAACATAACATTAAGCTTCCCGTGTTGCTTAATATATTTAAATATAATTCTAAATATTATATTGAAATTTAAATGTAAGCAAATTAAATGAATAGATATAAATATATCAAAAAGTTAAATAAAATTTTGGCATGTCACGTCTAAAAATGTCAGTCTTTTTTTTTTTCTTCACTCAGATAACACTGCCGGAGTCGTGACCTTGCGTGGTGGCTTCAAACGGCGCTCTCAGGAGATCTACCACCTTCCTGTGGTGATTGAAGACGGTGGCCTCCAGACTTTGAGCAGCACCGGCACCCTCACCATCCGTGTGTGCGGCTGTGACACCGATGGATCTTTATTAACGTGCAGCGCTGAAGCCATTTTCCTCCCTGTGGGCCTCAGTACTGGAGCCCTGATCGCTATTCTGGTGTGCATCGTCATACTGCTAGGTAAGCAAACATTCATCCATCAGAGCATTAGACAGTGAGAGGAAGAAGAGAGAGCGAGAGAGAGAGAGAGAGAGAGAGAGAGAGAGAGAAGTTAAAAACATCTGACCAGCTTAATTTAAGTGTTCATGTCAAAAAAACTAAGTGTTGTATTTACATTATGGTGGATGGGAAACGTGTGTTGATTTCTCATTTCAAGGAGGAGGGCAGTATCAAAACACACCAGATCAACTTCTACACTGCTTTGTTTGGTTCTGCCAAGGTTATTGGAGACCCATTCCAAATTTCCTGGAGCTGAACGGAAGGCTGCCTGTCCAGACTCCATATACCAGATGCAATCCCAATTCTATTTGGAGTGAAAATGCATACTGCAAATCAAAAGCCACCGGAACCTTATTTTGCACGAAAACTAAACAGACAGTGATAGTGTCCATCATAGACTTCTGAATCACATTTCAAGAGCCTTTTATTAAATGGCTATTTTTGGAATGAAACACTTGCTTCACTTGCTACCTCACTACATTTGTCACATGACCTTGGCAATCACTTATCATTTAAAAAAATAAATAATTTGCTTCTAGTTTTTCCACCGCCAAAGACATGGAAGGTCATGTTGAGTGCATTGCATTATGGGATACAGCATTCTGTACATTCAGTACAGAGTGAGCTGTGTTGTATCTCAGTCATTTTGACATATGTAGTACTAGAGGTCATCTGGGTATTGTGTGCATGCAGAAAATGTGCATACTGAGCATAGCATACATACTATTATAGGTAATGTAGAACATCACAATTATTCTGTGATTAAAGTGGTTCTGAAATGACACACTTACCTTGAACTTAGTCATGAAACACATTCGCAATTGATTTTATTTCTACAGCATGGCGTATTTTGAAATGGAAGAATATAATAAAGAAAAGAAAATATTGATTGGATAATGAAAAGTACAAGAATGATTCATTTGGTTCGAGGTAAATGTTTGAGAAAGAAGTAGATTTTGTTCTTCAGTAAAAAGGGAAAGTATGGAAGCTTGCTTGTGACATGGAATAAAAAAAATAAAATAAAAAAAACTTGCGGGTTTATATCTCACAATTGCAGTTTACATCTTGTGATTTAGATTTGTTTTCTCAGAATTCTGTGTTTACATCTCATAATTTTGACAATTTTTCTAGGAATTCTGAGTTTATATCACACATTTCTGACATCGTTTTCCTCTCAGAATTATGTTTACATCTCGCAATTCTGACTTTTGTCTTGGAATTCCAAAATACAAATAAAAAAAGGAAACTGTGACTTTTTATCTTTTGAGAAAGTCATAACTATGAGTTTATAGCTTGCAAGTGTAAGTTTAAGAGAGAATTGCGAAGAAAAAAAATCAGAATTGTGAGGAAAAAAGTCTTATTTTTAATCCATGATGGAAACGAATGTGCATTTATAACATATATTTCAATTTCATGAATATTTTGTTTCAGCTGGCTTTAGGCTGTTCTTGGGCTGCATGGATTCATGCTTTTTTTTTAGATAGAAGATACATAGGCTGCTCTGAAACTCTCTGGGGGTGGTTTAATTAAAACACACTTGTTAATTAAGTGCCTGTTTATTGGCCGTTCAAGACCGGGAAGGAGGAGGATAGTTGGATAAAGCGAATAAGCACAGGTTTAAACGAGCCTTGTCTTCGCCCATCAACGTCATAGTAAAAGCTCTAAATCTCTGAGTGTCATTAGCATCAGATCACAGGCTGAATTACTCTCCATGTTAACTTAACCCCCGAGGTCTAGACGGGGAAATCTCTGGAGTTATAAACCCAGTTCATTTGCATACGGGATGTGCGGGAAGTTGAGGTGGAGGGATGTGGAATGAAGTAGAGACTTTTATGGCCTCGTTTCCATGGTAATGTGTGTGGGCTGGCTGGTCATTAAGTAAGAGCATGCTCAACAAAATGAGGTTAGCACTCGGCTGTCCTCGAATGAACCTCAGACACAGATCTCAACATGCAGTACACTGCAGTTTTTAATTCTCAAATGATGTGTATGTCCACCTCATTGACACAAGATAAAACATGAAAATGATGTCATGCAGATCATCCATGAGCCGGAGCAAAAAGTTGACAAAGGTCAAAGCTTTGACCTTGCAGTATACCAGAGGTCATCTATATTCTTTTATACGTATATAATTCAAAATTGTTCATATATTACTGGTCAAAAGTTTGGAATGTATATGTAAATATGTATGTGTGTGTGTGTGTGTGAATATATATTCTACCAAACAAAAGTTTGGAATAAAATACTGTGTTTTTTAAATACTTTTGAAAGAAGTCTCTTATGCTCACTAGTGCTCCATTTATTTGATAAAAAAAAATAATATTGTAAAACATTATTGCAATATAAAATAAAAATTTTCTATTCTCTATATTTTAAAATGTAATTTATTCATGTGATAGTAATGCTGAATTTTCAGCAACCATTACTTCAGTGTCACATGATCATTCAGAAATCATTATAATATGATGTTCAATAAATATTTCTTATTATTTTCAATATTAAAAACAGTTGTGCTGCTTTATATTTTTGTAGAAAGGGTGACAATTGTTTTTTTTTTCATAGATGAATAAATGTAAAATCATAATTTATTTTGAAATAGAAACCTTATGCAACATTATAAATGTTACAGTGTTGTTTACTGTCATGTTTAGTAAGTTTAATGTACCTTTGCGGAGTATAAATAAATAAATAGCTTACTGGCCCCTTTTAATTTGAACTGTAATTATATATATAAATATATATATATATATATATATATATATATATGATATGATATGATATGTTATGAGATGATATGATATGAAATTATA